AAAACGTCGAGTTGGAGCATTTACACCTATTGGTCGACTGCCGTTGAAGTAGCGTGATCTGAAAAATTAAGATAGGTTTATATATCTTTGATACAGCATTATCTCCATAAATATGTTTTTTTAAATTATTTGTAAGTTTTCGCAAACTTTAATTTACTCTCAAGAAATCGTTTCACCTTATAAATAATTCGGATAATGAAAGATCAAGCTTATTCATATGTTCCTCCAGAATTTTCGAAGGACTTTCCAAGATGAGCAACAGATTTAGCAAAAAGGAGGAAGTTTTGATCAAAAAGAAGCACCTTTTACTTTCGGAGGCTCCTCTGCTTCAGCGCTTGATCTGCTTGAACCAGTTAACATCGAAGTCATCGAGCATATCTCCATAGTCTCTTTCTCTTCTCGAGCAATCTATAACAAATCAAAATAAGAATTATTGTCAGATGGTAAACAAAAACCGTTTTAGTGACATAGTGAATTGGAACTTAATTGAATGTGAATAACAAGTCCATTCAAATATTACAACATTAAAAACAGTTTTCTTCTTTTACTGCTAGGTAACTAAATGCGCATATGGGCTTAATTATGTTAATGTCCAGTTCTAATCTCAACAAACCTAAAAACGAGTAACCTAAACGAGCGAGAAATGAGTAAAAAGGCTATTGAAAGTAGTCCAAACTTCTCAAATTTGTCGCCCTTCCCTTGTAAAACTAACAAGCAGCGCTTGAAGGTGTCCAAGAAAATTTCATCTACCTTGTGCAATATTTCAAACATTTAAGTTACCTGCTCCTTGAGCTTCTGATATTCCTGAGATGGGTACATGGCCAAAACTTTGCGAAATTCCTCGCTGAGCTCAGCTTCCTCTCTGGAAACAAATACATAAATTACTGAAATTCGCAAAAGAAAATGTTTGGTCTTACGCGCTAAGTCTCCTCTCAACTTCATCAATTCTGCTGGATAAGGTATGTTGCCGTTCGATGAGCTCACGAAGTCTAGCCAAGGATTCTTCCATAGATCCAAGAGCCTACAAAAATAAGGGTTAGGGC